ACGTATAACTTGATTCCAAACGTTACGCTATGACTTTACTGACGACAAACATTGAAGAAATCACGAGTAATGAAATCCGAAGTGGTGGCCATTTTCGTAATGTTAAAATCCCCGTAGACTTTCAATTTGCTGTCGTTTCAATATACAAGTTGAACTCGAGGGTTCCTATTAAAGCACAAAGTTGGGAGGGGGTCATATAAGTTTGAAAGCCCATGTAGTTTGAGGTATATTACTAAAAAAAGTGATATCCTTAAACGTTTGGAATCGGGGAATAATCTCTGAAAATAACAACTCTCTTTCCAAGTACTAAAACTGGAAATGATGAAACTTTAATGTTTAATAAAATGTTCTATAAAAACATGTAAAAAATTATCTAATATCGTTTAAAATGTGCTGGAAGCACTTACATGGGGAGACAATAATATTGTTTGATTGACTAAGATATAACTGCAAATTATTACAACTTGAATTATTACATTTTATCAGTGATGAGATCCACGTAAAATGCAGTTTATACTTGTTCTGGCTTCTTACCATTTGTTATTCTTTGGACTGATTTTTGGCATTGTTAGAACTCTAATCCAAACAGAGGAGAGGGCATAAGAACTAAATTGAACAAGTGTGAAGAGAATCAGAACTTTTGTCTAGTGACATTCTAATGGAAAATATGTATCTTCTTGCACTGAGAACAGGTGAGCTTAAGAAATAATATATGTCTCTCAAGATATTGTTCACTTTAAAAATTAAAATGTATGGTGTTCCGTTGGGGCCATTCGCACCTTCGCACTCTCGCCTTTAGGGCGAAGTTGCGAAGGCGAAAGAGCGAAGATGCGACGGCGAAGATGTAAAGGCGAGAGTGCGAAAGTGAAGGAGCTATACTATAATCGGCACTTTCACCTTCGCATTTTCGCCTTCGTATTCTACTCTGTGGAGCTCTTCATCGTTATGAGTTAATCTAAGTGGGATAAATTTAGTGAATATTTAGAGTTACTGTGTGTAGGTTCATTAATTAACCCCACTCTCGCCTTCGCCTTTTTTTGCGCCAGTATTTCTCTCGGATGTTTTTGGTACGCATGCGCTAGATAAGTGTGATGGCGCCAAAATGGATGGTAAGCAATGGTTTAAATTAATTGTACGAAGAAGTTTTTACTAATGAATATAAATGGCGAAGGCGAAAGTGCGGAGGGAGAATGCGAAGTTGCAAAGGCGAAAAGCGATAGTAGTATCGCCCCTTCGCACTTTCGCAACTTCGCCATCGCAACTTCGCACTCTCGCATCTTCGCCCCAAAGGTGAAGGTGTGAGTGGCCCCAACAGAACATCATAAAATTCAGTGAAAATTTAGTTACTGTGTGTAGGTTCATTAATTTACCGCGCTCTTCAGTCTTGCCTTCGCACTTTCGCCTTTATTGTGCCAGTATTTTTTCTCTCGGGTGTTATTGGTACGCATGCGCTGCAGACGCCATTTTATGACTAAAATTATCCTCAAACTATAGAAAGGCTTCACACACACAAAAAAAAGCGAAGGTGAGAGGGCGAAGGCGCGAATGCGAAATTGCGAAGGCTTCTACTAGTATCGCTCCTTCGCCTTCGCATCTTCGCCTTCGCAACTAAGCACTCTCGCGTCTTCGCCCTAAAGGCGTGAAGGTGCGAGTGGTCCCAACGGAACACCATAAAAATTACTCTACCGGGGCTTAATTAAAACTCTTTGCATCCAAGGCCGGTAAAAGGACCCTATCCCAATATTGAAAAGTGAAAATTGACTCTTTTTTCCCAAAATTACACTAAAAATTCCAAATGACAAGCAGATTGAATTTTCCAGTACAGTTTATATTTCAAAAAAAAAAATGAAATTATAATGATTCATAAAATAAGCCTACAATCAAACTTTTTATTCAACAGTAAAACATAATATAAGTCAACAATATTTTCAAAATTTCCCACTTTTTCCGACTTAAAATCCCCAATTGAAAGAGTAGTGGACCCTGAGCCAAAAAAGGTTCAAGTAAGCCCTGCTGCCATACAATTTACAAAATTTCAAAATTTATCAATTAATATGCATAGTGATTATGTTTTTAGACAAGGATTTTGCCATTTTACATGCAAAAAAAAAAAAAAAAAAAAAAAAAAAAAAAAAAAAAAAATCCACGTAGTTTAATCACTGTTATACCGCATATAAAGAACAATGCTATCTGAATAATCTTCTCCTTTATTTTATAATTCACAGAATATATGCATTAAAACAAACCAACTAAAAAAGTAAGAGTTATGAGAATTATCAAGTACATGTTAGTAGCCTTAGTACCTTTATATATACTCGATAAATAAAGAAATAAAATGTTGCCATTTTATATGTTTCCTACGTGTGAGGGTGTGTGAGTGTGTGTGTCTGTGTGTGTGTTTAAAGTCAGAACATTTTTAGTTTTTTATTACCGGTAATTTTGATCCCAATTGCAAGGCACTCGTGTTCAATAAAAAATCGATACAAGCAATTAGTGACGCTCATATTCCGGAATACGTGTATCTATATGGAAAGTTATCACTCTTGGATCATCTTTTTCCAAGTTTTTTCCAACATGGTCATGGAGTATAGTCGTTTTTACTTGAATCGAGTGGAAAAAATCCATCGCCATTAAGTCCCTTAGAACAGTTTTTTTTTTCTTTTGCCGATCATGAGAATGGTTAACAGTCCTCCATGCGTTGATTATTTCTAATCTCTTCAACGGTTCGTTTTCCTGAAGAGGTAAAGTAAATATCGGTTCTTAAATTAAGTTTAAGTGCACTGTAAGATGATGGTTTCTAGATTTACAAGACTCATTATTTGGATAATTATTTTGTAATTTATGTGCATGAAATATGGCAATTCTATTAACTGTAATTTCTATGCTATATCTAATTACAATATATGATATAAACTTTCAAATACGTGATGCTTGAAATAAACGGGACTTAATTCATTTGGCAAAGGACTCGTAATTTAGAAGAAATATAAATAAACAGGACTTTTAATGCCCTGTAACATTATATAATTCACTTAATAATAAGATATCGCACATCAAATACTTTAAAGATTTTCCTTCATCATTTTGTCTACATTGGTGGAGTTCAGTGATTCAAGGGTTTAAAATCCGACGAATCATCGAAGTATTTTAATGATGCTTTTATACAAAACTGACATCAATACCTCAGTAGTGCAACAATGAAATATTTGATGTTTTTATTTAATTTTGTTAACAAAACTATATTCTGCATATGAGAGAATATTAAGGAACGCAATAAATTTAAATTTATAACTTTAGTTTACCTTCAGGCACCGTTTTCTGAGCCAATTATTTCTAATAATTTTATTTGCGTATACATATACCTTACTCCATTTAAATAATTATCTTTCGAAATCTTTAAATTTGTAATAATTAGTGAATAATTAAATGATTTAAGATAATTACTGAAACTGTTATCTCAAAATATCGAACACATGGCTTCGATAGTGGATTCAAAGTTAGGCCGACAATTTACCTTGTTTATAGGTATTTTGGCGGTGTGATCAAGAACTATGATAAAATCAGGTAAAAATTGCCAGGTGTAGTGGGTTTCAGACGTCTCGTCTGTTTGCACAGTGGAACGTTGGCATCCGCTAAACGTTAACAAAACATGTAGAACATTTGTTTTGTTGTACGTTATGTAATGTTGACAATTTTGTTGTAATTGACTATTAATTGTGTCATATAAAGCGATTGGCGGTAATACTTTCTAGCAGTTTAAGTCGAACCTGCCATAAACTAGGGTTTGTAAAAATTAGGTGTCCCGTTTACTGATATACAAATTACTTAATTCTCCACATACTAGTATTCAACCCAAATTGGTCCTCAGTCGTAAAACCTTTCATCGTTTAAAAACCTGATTAACATATAAAAAAGTGTCTTGCTTTTCATAACCCTTGTACTATATAATTATGTCATCTAAAGATGAGACCCGCTAACACGACTCGTTCCTTTTAGGTTATTGTGTCGCGCTTTCTTTTTTTGTAAGGTGCGACTTTAGAACTTACTGGTATACAGGTATATTATGACCAGTGTAATTTGCTCTAAATGTGCACCCATCCCAACATGTGCATGAGTCGCTGGTTGACTTCCCTGGTGTTTTTTCATGCCTGATTTCAGTAACATGTCTTTATTACGAACTTAAATAAAGAGAAAATATAGGTCAAGCGTGGCACTGCAGACCACTTTACCACTTTAGTTTAATTCAAGGTGTGTCGAACAAACTCTAGCTTGACACTCTCTATGGGTATGAAGAAGTTCAATGTAAACCACAATTTCCGTTTTCGCTAGAGGTGAGAATGAACCTCGACCCACATTCACACTTCTTATGTTTGAAAGTTCATCCGGTGTATGTAAAAAAAAGGAATTATTTTTTTAAGCCCTGTCATTACGTAGTTTACACCAGAAGTGTTAATGAAAATAGTTATTTAGTCTTACACTTCCTCAGGCGACTCCACGGAGTTTCTTTAGTTGTGAAATCATGCAGCAATGAATAGGGCAAAGCGAGATAACTTGTATGGTCTTGAAGCAATATCAACCTTCTCAATTTTTTCATTCTGTGTTCGTGATAACTTCATACACCCCAGGCCTAAAATGTGTGATAAATAAATACTATTCTTTTTTCTCTGTTATCACTTTCTTAATTCAATGTCTTACAATCCCGTGGATAAGAGGAAGTTTATAAAAAAAAAAATACAATCCCTACATACTGGGAAATAGTTGATTTCATTTTAGATTAGGGAGCCAGGTCTTATTTCTGTGTCATAGAGATAAAAAAACAACTTCCCACACTTATTACACACTGATTATGAATAATATTTTGATTATGAATCGCCCTACATAGTGTGTAACACACATGCGCAATATCTATGTTGATTGACACTTTACCATGTGAACTGTACACACGTGGGCGGTGCTTTCAACACGTGAAGAACTTCACAACATAAACAAATGCAACACAGTTTTAAGTTTTGTAGACTTTTTGTTGTATTTGACTACAACTTAAGATTAACGATCGTACAAATATTATTTGCACATGCCATGTATAATATAATAATAATAAAATGTCATATGTACATTTGGCTTCTCCCGTTTTCGCCCGACAAAATTGTTCGTTGGATTAATGCGTACGTATCAAAATATATAGTCACAAATTTAAGATGGGGGAATATTTTTCTAACAACAAAAATCTTAATAGCACAATATAAATAGACTCCCATCGTTAAGTTTTTGTCCACTTTATAACAAATGTACACACAGGAGATTTACACTATTACAAAGAACGACATAATAGAAAAAGGTTTTTCATTTGTGCTTGTGTATAAAAAAAAAATGGTTCATTGCAAAATATTGAGATTTCACTGTGACCTTTTTTTCACGTATTATTTTCTCAAAGAATATAGTATAAAATATCTACATTTCTTTGTATGAAAAAATATCCCTGCAGATCATTTTTATGGAATAAGACACAAAATATGATTATTACACACTGGTGAGAATAATGGAAACAATGAGAGATGTCCATCCACAAAATACTAAATATATGGAGACAGTGAGTTCTACAATACAATACTGAGAATATGACACACAGCACAAATATACTTGATATGGATCAATTCGTTCTCACAGTTTATATAGAATATAGATATAAATCTCTCATAAATATATTTATACATCACAACTATACCAGTCTCTGCCACGACACGCGAGATCTTTGATCCGCGCCTCGGGTCCCGACTTTCCACGTGGTCCGCAATACCGACAGAAAGGTCCTCCCGAAAAATGCTCGTTTGGATTATAACGTATTATTTGCACATGTCCCTTCAGAATTATCAACAATCAGTCATAACAAGAACACACACATACGAAAGATTAAACGATGAAACACGAGAAAATGTTCAATGAGCAGCAATTGAGCCAAGAACGGAAATGTCTAACCATTCAGATTCCAGTCCAATCATTTCGGAAACTTCAGGCGTGGAATAATCCGGGAATTCAAAATGCGATCCATTGCTGGATGTGGAGCAAGCACTTGACACATTCGAATTGTTATTATGCATGTCGAAGTTGGGGAAATCACACGTGTCGGCGAGTTTACTCAAGTCCAAGTTCCCTAACTCTATCTGCCAGTCGTTAGGCATTCGAAGCACATCGGTGAGGTTATCGAGATCCGCCAACGAAGATCCATCTCCCTGCTGAGTTTGATTACCCTGAGTTGTGATATTGGTGGGATGACATTTTATGTCCTCGGGCGAGGCGGCCGGAGTATCGTAGATTCCTTCTTCGGGGTAGAAACTGGTGGATTCAGGGGTTGGGGGCGAGTAGACTGAGGGACTGGACGGTACTTTGGCGGGAGGGGTCAGCTGGCACGATGACACGGGTACATGTCTACTTGCCTTAATACTGTCTTTGAATTTTTTGTCAATGGTCAACTTGAGTTTCAGACGACTATTGTATGGAGTACTTACACTTTCAGGATCATTAGCCCCATCCAGAAAGTTTCTCACGGCTGCTTTCTGCTTCATGCGATCTGTGCGAGTTTTGTTGGTAGGTTTTGACACTTTGGAGTCGGATTTTGTCACAGGTTTGGCCTTCTTACGGGGACGGTATTTGTAGTCAGGATATTCCTGCATGTGTAACAGTCTCAGGCGCTCTGCCTCCTCGATGAAGGGCTGGCGATCTGTATCGTTTAACGTTTTCCAGCGTTTTCCCAGTCGTTTACTAATCTCTGCATTGTGCATATCAGGCGATACCTCAGAGATCTTTCGACGTTCAAGCTGGGACCACACCATGAAAGCATTCATTGGCCGCTTAACGTGGTTAGACTGCTTTTTGCACTGAGTGGCATCCGTGTATGGTGTGTGTGTGTTTGGGTCTATACACTGCGATCCGAAGACCGATGCGTTATTTTGAGGCACCATATTTCCAAGTTAAAACATTGAATACACAAGTGTAATGTCTGCGGAGGTTTAATCCTAAATACACAGTTCCTTCCAAGAAGGGAGTTGAGTTTTTGTTATAACTGTTCACTTTTACTTCGATAGCTGTTCTAATCATAGCACATGCGAGAAATCGGTTTTATTTACCCACGCTGATTTTAGTCACGTGAGCCCCTATCGACGCTTAGCCAATGATACCGTAGTATTAAAAGTTTATTAATAACACTCAGCTTGTTTAGCTCCGCCAGGAGGTGGGGCTTATTTTACAAACCAGGTCAACTGTCAATGGGAAGTTGTTTAGCTATGACAAAGCTCTTCCTGCCGTATTTTGATTTTAAAATACACACACAAACTAAAGAATTACGAATTAAAAAAAAACGTTTCCGTTTTTTTTAAAGATTCTACGACAAAAATTAAAAATACAAGTATCAAGTCATGAATTTTATTGTCGCTTTAAGTTATTGTCCAAAAAGTACCGTTTACTCATTAAATATTATTTTTTGTTGCATGCGTCTACCTATTTCATTGCTGATATTCTTTAATTGAAATCTTTCATTTGTCTTCTCCTCTTTTAAGAATGACACATTTTTTTCTTTTACTGAATTGCAGGTAAATAGATTTCAAAAGTTTATTTTGAATGGAAACGTGTATTCAAAATTTCTTCTTTTTTTTGAAAACTTGATAATTATCATGATATGACTTTAAGATTTTTTTCATTTTATAGAATATGTTTTATGTTGCTCTCTCTCTCTCTCTTTCTCTCTCTCTCACTCTCTCCTTGTGAGAATTTCGATGATGAACTTTTCTCTCCCAACATTGCAATTTACTTTTGAGCTTTAACAGATTTAATTATCAGATAGCGAATGATCGATCCGACACGTGCAGCGTCCTCATTCGCGACGGTGACAGAGCACGCGACAAAGTCTAATACACGCGCAGTCTTCGAATTTGATAGATCTGTTCCAAAGTTTATAGCCAATGGGATGATTTTCTTTCAAATACAAATATCGACCCATGTTCCACATCTCCATTATCCTTTGATTAAAAAATCTCAGACCCTAAATCTTTAGCATTACGTTATTTAAGAGTTGATTCTGGAATATTTTTTCCATAAAAAAAGAATAGCATCAAGTTTAATTTCTCACCGTTCATTTTGAAAAGAAACAATTTCGCCTGAAAAAGACTTTGAACTTGGGGTAAGGGTGACGTCACAGGCAGGTGCTATCTAGGCAAAAGGTGTATTGTGTCAATCAAAACTGATCTGTGTTGGGCACGCGACGGTGGCAGCTGGCGACCGAAGGAGCCAATGAAAATAGACATATTTCAATGACTTTAAGCGACAAATTCAGGAACCCGTATGAAATTAAAAATGGTAAATGGAAGCACTTGATCAATTATTAATGACAACGAATGTCTGATACATGGTGATAAAGTAATATAAGGACAATTTACCAAATCCATCCGTCATGTCTTGCATCGGTTCGTCTTTCCGAAAAGTCTATAGTCCCTCAAATTAAGAAGTTTGTGAACTTAAAATAAACCTTACATACAATTAAAAATAAATAAACAAGAAAAAACACTATATTTATATATAAGAGAGAGAATAATTTGGAGATGCATTAAATTAAAAGCATTCCAGACCATTAATTTTCTATTTTCTTGGATGACCTGATCAGAAGATAATTTTGGAAAAGTAATCCAGAGTTCGTTAAAAAAAAAATGCTGAGGTGACAACTATAAAACCTTAAAATTCCAGAGATCAGGTAATTAGCGCCGATGGCAGGTGAGGCGTGCACACGCTTACATCAACTTCAGATTATTAAATTTTCCTTTGATGTACTCTAAAAGGCACGCGACACCTTGAAATATTAGCATATAAGTGTTTATATCTTAAAACCAGGTAACGGTACCTACAGATTTTGACATAACCGACCCAGGAACACCTGCCCCTTTTTGAGATGTTTGCAGAGCAGAAATGACAACAATTTGTTGGTGATTGTGTTCGCATGCCATCTGCCGCGGTTTCTACATACAAATAGTATTCGGGTTCACAAAAAGCTCTTTCCTCTCGGTCGGGCGCCACCGATCTGCAAAAAACAATCTGTCGCCTAACTTTTAAAATAGTATACAAATTGTTAAAAATTAGTGTGCTTGTTCGGGAGTTTATTTGTCCTTCTCCTGTGTATGGTATTGTAGAACGTTTGTTAGTACAGCAGTTTCTCTAGACTTGCGAAATACAGCCACGTGTCATTGGAATACATTTAAGAAGTATCTGGGTAGTCAGACTAATACACGGGGCATCATTGGATATTGCCTGCAAGCTGCCAAGGCGAATATTTGCATGTCGACTGTAAAGTTGACAATACATCTTGGTGTCAAAAGCTTACACCTTCTACTCTTATCGCGTTTTACCCGAAAGAAGGCTTCGCTATCAAAAGTTACCAATTAATTAAACTCTACTATGTATAATGCAATAGTATCGTGGTTAGATTTATGTACCCAACTGCAATACTGTGTTTGCCAAGCAATGTAAATAGGATTGTCATCAGTGGTGTTACAACACTCACGAGCACCCTTTGATATGAGACAGATCTCAAATTACGTATCAATGGCTGTAAAATCTGATTATCGAAAGTATCGGAAAATCACGCGTCCCTTCAGCTGGCGTGAGCCATTCAGCACCCCCGGGCTTTTTCCGATGTATTACACGGTGTAAAATCTGATTTAATCAAATCCTTTCCGCAAATTGAATTCAAAATACAAAATTCAGATGTAAAACATACACGTCTGATAAATGAATATACCCTCAAGTATATCCTTGTGTCGCCATAATATCTTTTTACCCAGAGTTCCGTATCTACTTGAAAAGTGGACATCTTGTCTACATGTGCGTGTTGTGTACGTATTCTTTGCACACTTTCCCATTAACTGCCGTTCTAATCTATACCACAACACATTGAAATAATCTCTTGAAATTAAAAACGACGAATTACGCCCTGCTTGTAACGTCTGCTGCGTGGCCTCGGGCACGTGGCGTTTTCCACGGTACCATGCGCCAAAGAGGAAATACCCCATTTTACAGAAAGATAAGAACATTAATTATTTTGAAAAGTTACAGTTCCGAAAAGTTGTCAGAAACTCTGGTGACAGCTGTTTTAAATAAGTTTTCTTATAAACAAACCCGCATTTCCTCTCGACACATGACCCTGTAAGAGATAGAATTCCGTGTTCGAGTTCGGCGAGAAATTCTTGCTGACTTCGTATGTTTTTTGAGAGTTTTTGCCCAGCAGGAGACAAAACTGCAAAGTTTCGCATATTAATGACACATCGAATACACAGCAGCTTTTTGAAGTTTTTGAAACTTCTGGTGGAACAAATGTTAACGGTTGCCGAGGGCGACTACATCTATTCTATTATTTCAGATTGGAAAACGTCCTTTTAATGGTGACAATACGATAACTGTCATTTGTCTTCACTTATTGCATATAAAACCATTTAATATGTGTAATAATTGCATCTTTAACAAAGTACACGTTCGTCCTTTTAATCACGATTTTAGGAGATGCCTCTAAGCTGACTAGTCTCAGCTTTCGTGACTATTAACGCTTAGCCAACTGTTCAGCTATAAATCTCGGGACTCAAGTGCTCTCTGTCGCGTCCATGCAACTTTCTTGCTTCATTTGATATTAGATTTGGTGCAAAGTTAATGCTCGGTGAAAAATTTTGGGTTAGACAGACAGAACACACCAATTTGTTACTCTATGTTTCCTTATACCAAAGACCCCACAGTAAGTCAATGAATTATCAACATAGTCATATTTCGAAGCTTTGCAACAGTTCAAGTAAAAACTCTCCGTTCAATTTAAGAAAGCCTAAAAACGATTCTGGTCACCTTGAAATCCAGCTGGTTGAATCTCACAGATGTGTTTTGTCTGCACAGAGCTGTAGATAGTATCGCACGTTTCTGTACACTGACTGTAATCTAATAAAATTTCCAGTCTCTCCTTACTCCGATACAATAAATGCTGACCTTGTGGAAAAAAAGTTCTTTTTTTTGTCCCCGCAGTCTCCCATAGTTCGAACCCAAAACAAACCAAAGTTACATTAATTGACAGAATTCTTTAATTATGCACGACAAGTCAAATGTGAGTCTTGTTAAATATAATTTCAGTAGTGAAACACAACATTCTTATAACATGGAAGTATCATAATTACAATTCATTTCATCCCAGTCTTTTTTAGCAATTAGTTTAAAAAAAACTGCATACATAGACCAGGGAACGTGTTTGTGAAGAGAAAACATCTGTCATTAAGGTAACTCCCAGCAACTTTGAAATCACGAACTTTTTTTCTCTAATTAAGAATAAAATGGGTTTTTGAAGTATTCTGTATTCTGCTGATTTATCAATTATCAATGATGCATCGAATTTCACCAGATAATTAAGAGAGGGTACGCTTTTGTGCCGAGCCCACCATATATGTGACAATTGTAAATCATATTTGGACAATTATAGCCATCGATATATTTATTACAATAATAGCCCCCACACAATACACACGTAAATAAGATCTTCAAAGCACGGTTTCTTCTGGCACGTATAACGGGCACCTGTGTATGCACCTGCATGAATTTGAAAATGTTTGTGTATGTTCATCATCGAATGATTGACAAGAAACTGCATTTTTTGGATCTTTACGATATTGATAAACCTTTTATAAATCGTTATGAGTGGATTTCTGTGCGCCTCAATGTAGAATTTTTTGTTGTCTTCCGAATGAATTCAAACGAGTTCGTACCTGAGACGTCACTCTAAAGAAATTGGACACTTGCAAAGATTTGTTATGGTAAAGGGGTTAACGATCCCAAAAGTTCCAATATTATTGGAAATTTTAGAGAGAAGTGTTACTTGTCAATATTTGACTTCCCTTATTTAACTACCTATAAGCTAATCATGAACAATAGTAAACGTGTCCAAAACAGAAATTACAAGAAGCAGTTGTGTCACCTTACACACCTAAATGTACAACCCAGCTTTGGGCAATGCACTTTGGGAATTTCAACCCGATGAGACCATTAAATCATTTTATCGATCACTACACGTAAATTATAAAAAATGGTGC